TTGGAAAAGCTATGAAATGTAATAGGAAGTGCATCTCCTATGAAGAGACCAGATTTAGATATTTTGAAATTATTTAGGTGGATAAAGGTATCATCAACAGAACTAAGTCATGAAGGGAACATATGCCCTCATATTTCTTAGTGACATCATTCCCTTCTATGGAGATGAAGGGGTCTAGGTCTTTTTTGACTTCTCAGATGACTCCTTCTCTATCCTCCATTTCCAGATTACTTCCTGTTCTCCTGCAGTGGGTTTGAAATCAGGGAACAAATCTTATTCTCCTTGGGTGAGGGCTGAAATAATGAGCAATGGCACTAACAACTTACCAGCAAATCTGTTAGGCAGGAGATGAGCAGGCGTGTCTGTGCCTGCTCAGGTGGTGGACATCTCACCCTTCCCTATCCAGTTATACACAAACAGGAATAAACTGAACAAAATGACCCCTGTGCACCACTTCAGACTTCCCTGAATGCATCAAGAGGCAAAACTGCGTTAGGGACTAGCATAGTGATGACAATTTCTGCAGCCACAGAGATGAAAACCAAAGTCAAGACCCTTGACAGTTTCATGCTGACAACCTGCTACTAGTGACAGGTATCCTAGACTAGGAAGGAAAACCATCTTTCTGCTGTTGCTGTGTGTGTGAACAGTAAGAGTGTGACTAAGTGTTACATCCAGAGCACCCCCACACACAGGAGCTAAAGGATGCCCAGCCATAAGATTGAGAGCCTCTATGAGTTGGAGCTGCCACTTCCCTGAGGCTCTTCAAGTTTGCTATTCCAAGCTGAGGATGTGAACAACCCACCCGCTGCAAACGGTACGTCTATCCCTACCTCCAAAAGGCTTATTTAGAGTTGATCTTGAGAGCAGAGTGGAGGTCAAGAGGGCTCTGTGTACACAACACATTCAGTAAACAACCCACTGTTACTGTTCTCAACTCTCCATCAGGGCATCAGCTCAATGGATGCTTAGTCAGAAGCCATCTCTCTGAAGAGGTGGGCTAAGGATCCCTGCCAGTCCAATGGGACTGAAGTGCTGTCCTGCCAGAACCAGCTCTTGGTGCAGGGTTCCAGGGACAGTGATTTGCAGAGGTGCGAATTCAGCTTCGTAACTAAAGCCCTGAACCCTAGCGGTAGTGCAGGTAAGGGTACACTGTGGACCCCTAGCTGAAGGAGCTCCAAAACACTCTGGCACAGGTGTGACTAGTGCAGAACATGACTAGGCACTTTTACCCACGTAGACAGCCGCAGAGATAAGATGGGCTAACCTTTAAGGTTTTCTCCAGTGGTCACAGCGTACTGAGCCTTTTAACAGTCAGAATTCCAAGTAGAGTAGCTGCTCCCTCTACAATGAAATATGCCTTCCCCAAGACAAGTGTGGAACTTTGGAGCAGGTAGTAAAAGGCAGAGACAGACTACAATCCATCACACAGAGGGTGAAGCCCAAGTATCACTTGTCTGCCCTATATACTAAGTGGGTTGCTCAGCAGCACTTGCAGGACTTTCTTTCCTGCCTGACAGTGAAGACAAAACCTTCAGAACAGAGAGGTCAAGCGGTGGGGCAGAAGAGAGCAGGTTATTCAAATGGCCCTTCTACAAGGCTAGTAACAAATTCAAGCAGTAGGAAATGTTAGGTTCTTGGATGGGACAGTACAAATTCAACAGGATCCTTTAAGAACACATAGCAGCAGGTGGACAAGTCGTTGGAAATTTTCCTAGGAATATGGCTATGCAAAGCTCACTGTTGAAGCAGTCCCAACTGCA